AGCAGCAGCAATATACACCATACACACTGCTAACACATCCAGCTTCTTCGTGTTGTTCGCAAATCGGATACATATGGCCACATGACATCCATCTTCTCTACACGAACCTTTTCAGTGTTGTAAAGACCTAGTAGTTGTCACTCTTGTTTGGTTGTCACTTCTCCTCTTGTGTTCCACCATTGATATTCTCTCAGAGCAACTGGATCCACTTCCCAATTTGATCATTCTAATATCACAATCAGTAGCGCTATCATCAATATGAGTCATCGAAACGATTCAGCATGTTTCCAAATTCTACCAGGTAATTTTCCTTGCCATGAATTTGTCATCCTCAACTGTCCACTTGCTTGCTTGGTTCAAGTCGATCTTGGAATGCTGATCTGATCTGATGTGATTTGTAATTTCCTTTCCAAGTCTATTTGCTTAGCTGAAGACTTGTCCATCTTCAGCGCTATCAGTTCTTCCGAGACCCAGAAAGGAGGTTATAAGCTTTTTCCTCACGAGAGGTTTGTCGAACGTAAGCCAGATATTGTAGAATTAATCGGAATCGAATCCCAGACATTCAACGAAGAATCAGGCTTATGACTGCTATCAATGTAATAGGAATTGGCTTCGGAATGAGGCATCCGGTTGGTAGAAACGAAAGAATTGTAGCGAGGTTTTGTTGGATTCACAAATGACATCGATAGCGTCACAAGCTTCCAGCGGCATTATCTACGGAACGTTCCTTTTATATCAATAAATTTTCAGCACATTCAATTGTAAAGGTACGTGAGGACGTGATGAGTGAGGAAGAGCTAAAGCAGAAGGCACAACGGGATCTACAAACGGCCAAGGACCCCATTGAACGTCTACGCTTGCAATGTCTCGTTCGTGGAAATGCTGGCATCAAATCGCTGGGCAGGTACCTATCGAACACCATAAACTCATTTGTTTCTAAAATTATTCGATAATCTCACTAATTGCTTTCTTTTCTTGTAATTCAAACAGAATTTAAAAACGCTTCGATATTCCACTAAAACATTTCGGTATATTTGATCGAGTAAGCGATTATTTGATCTAATAGATTCGAGTTCTCTTGAATTTTTAAATTCGTACATTTAAGATCATTCCGTATCATGGACGACAATGAAAACAAAACGCTGGATTTGGAGGAATTTCGAAAGGGACTTCGAGATTTTGGCGTTACAATGGACGAAGAGGAAGTGGAGAAAACTTTCAAGCAATTAGACACTAACAACTCCGGCTCAATTGATTTCAACGAGTTTCTACTCGCCCTTAGGGTAGTTAAATTTCAATTATGTGGACTACTGGAACATTGTCGGAGCAACATCCCCTAGGTTCCCCATTCGTTCTGCTGACATCTGACCGAAATTTGAATCGATCTATTGAACCAATAAAGAATTATCGGCCCTCCACTTGCTCCGAACAACTGATTTGGACAATGATATCGCTCCTTTGTAACTGTATCAAATCATTTATTTGTGCCGAACTCATTTCGAGTGCTAGCCTCAACAAACATCGTTCACCATATTATTCGATTTCGGGCAGAATT